CTGTCGTGGTCGCTATAAACGTTCGTAATCTCCGAGGAAATTCGGTTCGAATTATCACGTCACGATCCTGCTGAAATCCCGACCGAACGAAATTCTGACGTCATACAACGCGTTCGATATTTTATTAAACTTCCTCACTAGGGATTTTGGAGTCATTATCGCTTCAACACAACTAATAAAAAGCCCCAGCAGGAAATGATCACGAAAATCGTGACGGACCATTAGTTTTTCATTCCCTTGCTCCAACCCCTCCAGTTTGCTTTATTTTTATTCCGTCACTCTTCGGAGGTAATGCACCCGGTTGCAGCACACGTGAGGGTGTTAAGTGCGCCTCGGTGGACGCTTTGTGAAACGGATCAGCACCCTTTTGGTGTTGATGTAATACGTGTCGAGTGACTCGAAAAATCCCTTCGACATGGGACAGGATTGGTGCGTACGCAAGAAACGAAAACGAACCGGAACCACATGCTGTCCCTGTGGACCAGGACTTCGTGTTCATCCCTCACGGTAACCAGTCATTTCACTGTAATGATGATGCAACACTGTAATCAATCGTTTTTACCCGTTTCGCAAAGGAAACGAACCCGGCGCATCCACCAAATTTTAACATGACCAAAACATAAACTGCACCTAGAATATTACTTAATTGTTTTTTTTACAGCAGTTAGCTAGTCTTTTGTTTTGATTTCACTGTTTATTGGGAAAATTTCATAAAGAATTGTTTGCTTCGTGGAGTCAGAAAACATAATGAAGAGCATTAATTTTAAATTTTGATATTTTGCTCTTATTAAAGTAAAAAAGTCCTAATTGCCGGGTGCGCTTCTGCCTGAAATGTATGTAATACGGAAACAAGAAATGGCGTTCCTTCGCTTTTCCGAGCCTATATTTGCCGTACTGATTAGGTTACACCAGTGGTGTAACAGATTTAATTACTCCATCAATTTCCGCCATTCCGAGTTTTGCCCCCCTTCCCTCTCGATGTGTGTAGGTCACGAAGACAAACCTATTTCTTTCCTAACAAAAGTTTAAAAATAACCACACGTTATCGGATCTTTAGCGTCCTCGAAAAGTGCCGGCAACACAATTATATGTACTTTCGCTGCATTGAGATAGGTCGCGAATATAGTTGGTCGGGTCCGCGTGACGTAAAAGGCGCTCTTTACCGACGTCATCAGCGATATACATACTAGCAGGATGCAGAACATGGCCTCGCAGAATTTATATCCTTAATATAACGTGACCATTATTTGCGTGGTTTTTATTGTTAAAGGGTAAAACGATGTTAAATCGCGATTAGTATAGCACTGTTGCGTCAAATACTTAATTTTTTCCTTTCCTAACGCAAAAAATTATGAAAAAATTCCTCGTGGTTCGATGATTGTGCGTTGTTTGCCTCTCACCACCAATCCATCTTTGAACTATTTTTAACTCATCTTGTCGCTTCGTTTCTTCCTGGTTTCTGATCGATAAAAAGAGGAGGCGGCAATGAGGGAGAGTTATATCGATCATGTGTCTTAAAGGGTTTCATTTCTTGATGGTGATGACACATGGCAAATCTGCGATTATGGTTCATTTTCTGCAATATAGTACTCATATGTTAACTTTCGCACATTTATTTGCCGTAAGTCCTTTTTCAATTCTCGAGCTCAAAAGGGAGATTGATGTCGTTTCAAATCCTTTCGTGTCAAAGTTAAAGGTGCTTCTGTGCGTCACATTAAGACGACCTTTCAATTGTGGAAACCCTGAAATCGCTCATGAAAATCAACATTTTTTTTCCCCCGTATTTTCTTCCACGAAATCGAAAAAAAACTAATAATCTAGGCTCTTTTCCCCACAAAATACAAGGTATTTTTTCCGCTCGCTGCTCCCGTCGAAAAATTTAATATCGTATTAATCCGTCTCGGAGCGCAAAAGATGGATGATTGCGAAATATTTTCAAGAGGTGCTCGTGTCGTTGGAAAATTGCATCTGGTTTTTCTTTTTACAAACGAAAAAAACTTCTTTCATAATTGGCTTTTATTAAATACTTGAAATTACTTGTATTGTTTGTCGTTTTTCTCACTCCAACTCGCAATTACTTCCGTGAAGACTGTACGGAAAGCGAGAAGACTATTAGATTCTGCGTAAATTTGATTTCGGGTCTTTTCTGCCGGTTTCTCTCTTGCTCTTTCCGATGTCGGCGGTGGAATCCCACCGAAGTTTTCCGGAAAAGAGTTTAATGTTGTTTTTCTTGTTAATAATCAATCCAGGTCAGAACGTGATGATAGGGAAAGGGTGTCTGTCCATCGTCGATGTGGGCTTTATCCACTTTCCGGTCTCTTGGGAGGTCGTAAAAAGGGGGTAGATCGCGTGGTTCGCATCCATTCTAGTGCCAGGCTCCGGGGTAGGTAGAGATGGGACATGCGCGCTTTTCCATCGTCATGGCGGCTACGATACGGCACGCTCCCGCCGCTCTACACAACCTATTTTCCACAAACAATTTCCTGCAGTGATTTAGTAACGAGTCTGGTTCGCAGCGCCGGCGGGAAAAAACGCCCGTAGGCAAAGAGGAAAAATTTTCTAATTTCTCGACACGAGTGAAAATCGCGCGCGTCAAACCATGTTTTTGTAATTAAATGTAGTTTGTTGCATTGACATTTGATAATGTTGTTCCTGTGGGGGAAGCGGATTTGTTGTTGTGTGTGGAAGCGATGGAGGGGCGAATGGTCCGAGAAAGAATAAAACAAATGGTCTAATTGGTTTGTTTATGTAGGACGTGTGTTCCGTATGTGTGACATTTGCCCAGTGTGAATTATAAATGGGGACCCGACGTCCGGCCTGAAATCAGTGCGAGAATTAGGTGCAAAACGTTGATTAGGGGAGTTAATAATGTTAATTACGTGGGGTATATGAGTGTGGTGCAATGAGTGCCGCACGCAACCTCCAAAATGGCGTGAGAAGAGACGACAGTCGGGGGAGGGAGATGACAGCGATGTGCACGCTTTTGCCCCCCCGAAATTAAGACACTCATTGATGTGGTGTTCGCCGGTCATTGCTACGTCTTGAGGAGAGATGTAGGAACCCGGTGCGACATTTTATCGAGGTCGTCTCGATCCCGGCCAACTTCGATCAATATACTCTGTTGCTCCGCATACCGGAAAATTTTTCTTCCTCCGATGGGTGCCACACGGACGATCCTAATTTTATAATGTTGACATTGTTATTTTTGTTATGGTCCCTGATTCGCGGTCTAAGAAAACCTTCCTCAAGCACCCCCTCACCCGCACCACCTTCGCCGGTCCCCGAATCGCCCTCTCCCGAACCTTTAGACTTGCACAGCGAGTTATCAATGACTTTGTCCTCCCAGACGAGGATGTCGACCGAGAGCTATCGCTCGCGTTATTCCCCGTTTTCGAGGGAATCGTCGGTGGACGTCGGCAACGAAAGTCGGCATTCCGTGACGAGTATATCTTCATTCTCGACGTCGTCGAGACGATACGAGATTATTGGTCAGAGGTCTATTGATTCGAGGGCCAGTGTAACTAGCCTTTGGTCTTCGGATATGTCCAGGAGGGATTCGGAGGCTATCCCTGAACATGAGGTCGATTCCACGGACTCTAGAGCGTCTTTTGCTTCAGCGGGTAGTTTAATCTCGTCCGACGGTTCGAGACGACATTCCGAAGGTCTAGGGAGAAGGAGGAGGTCTTCGGTGAGGTCGTCGCAAGTTAGGAGACACACTAGGAGGTTTCCTTTAACTTATGATAGGCGGAGAACTACTGGGAGGTTTGTATGAGCCACGGGAAAGGTGGGCCCAGAAATGTGCAGGTCTCACAAGTGGTCTTCGATGACTCAACAATTCTTATTTTGAGGTTTTTTTGCATTGATATTTAGGTATCCCTCCTATCTCTTGATTTTTCTTCTCAAGTAGGGGCTTAGAAATATATAGCTTTATTTCATCCAATATCAATTAGCAAAAATCATTTAATTCACAATGATAAAAAAGAGGCGATCGGCAAATCCAGCGATTATTGTTTTATCATTATTGTTTTTTGCTTTAATCCAATAATATGTTAAGTAATTGCTTCATAATTTTAATTGGTGATTATCCTTTGTTCAGTCAGTTTTTTTGTGATACCACTATATTGTGAGGCCTGACAAGCATCAAACTTCGCACGAGTTCTCGTTCCATTGCCACAAAACATGATAATGAAAAAAAAAACGATCTGATCACTGAAGAGCAGTACCCTTATCAAACATTTTAACTCAACACCAGCAGTTCATTGTTTCTAAAGGTTATCAGTGATTGATCGGAATATTTATTAAGAGGTGTATTCTGTAGGTACAATGTGCGCCCGAATTTTCTCCAATTATTTATTAGTCGGCAACGCTTAAATAATTTAATAATCTTTTTTATGGCTTTTAATCTTAATTTAATTGATTGTGGTAAAAGATGGTGTTCCGATGTTCGACTCTCTTGTCTTTTTTTTTAAACTTTCAGTTTTAACTTACGAATTCTCCAACCTCGTCACGTGATCAGCGATAATCGCAAATTCGTCGTATTCACAATCGAGCCTGTTGGTTTTTCGTGTTTGCGCCGAGTTTATAATGCTCGACATGATTTTGTTGGGTCATATAATCTTCAGATTATGTCGCTTTTATCTTATCTTAATAACCAATTTATTTGCAGTTAATAGAGAGACAGTTATGTCGGTAATAGTGTCGTATATATGGCCAGTGAAGGTTTGCCAGAACAATGCCGATCTATCTTTCGCACAGGAGTCCGATGAAAATTCCTCGGAGGAATTCTGACTTCGTTTTGGGGAGAAACGGACCTGTAGTATTATTAAGGTCTGAGCACAATAAGCGATTCCACCAATCAGCGCGTCAATTCCCGCGTGTCATATCAACGGATTTGCATAAAAATCGTTTGTTCGGAAAGGGGTGTTTACGTCATAAAAAAATTAATTTGTTTTGGAAAAAACGCTTTGCATGTTGATTTATTATTTTGTTCTGGTTTGCAGTTTCGACGTTGAAAATGGAGCGAGTCCGGGAAGGAGTCCTCTGGATGGGGCAGCGTCCCCCTCTGCTGGCCTGGTCCTCCAAAATCTCCCCCAAAGGAGGGAGAGTTTCTTGTACAGATCCGATAGCGACTTCGAAATGTCTCCGAAATCGATGTCTAGGAATTCGTCGATCGCTAGCGAAAGGTAAGACTTGATTATCTAATCATAAGAATTGCTTTTGAGTTTTTATATGATGTATACAGAGCGCGCAATTTGTCGCGCTACAGGAAACTGTAATCGAAACATGTCAGCCATCTGGTGTCAAAAAGCCGTAATAAAGGAGACATGTCTACAATCAATAAAGTTTTGAGCAGATGCTTATGTAAATAAATCTTTCACTTTTGATCGCTTCGAGCACTCACTTCTGTCGTTTATCATGTGTGATTTATTTTTTTATTTTCTTTTTTATTTTTCTCTTTTCTTTCTCTTGGTCATGAATGATAAAAGAACGATCTATTTTGCAGATTCAAGGAGACAGAAAACATATTGGACAGATCGTATGTACTTTTGTGGATTTTGGATATGTTTTATTCTTGCACCTCTTTTAACACTCTTCTTGACCCTTATTTTTCAACCCTCTTTGTTCGAATAATCTTCAGATTCATTCAAATTGCATGTTTACGCGTACTTACCGGTTAACCAGCATGCTACTGACATAGGTACTCATACATTATACGATTTCAGACATATCGTCCCCTTGTTTGAATTTTTATCGTTGTTTCGTCGTAACATTGTTTTTATTACGTTAGATGTCATCTATAAAATGTTTTATGTGTGTCATTATGTGTTTTAAAATATACGGAATCTGAAGGTTTTCGACAGTCAGTTAAAAACTTTGGCTTCACACTTTTTTCACCTAGTTTAGGCATAATAGTCTAGTTATGGCTTGTAGAGTTAGGCAGATACGTTGTAATGACCAATTTCAGTTTGGCTGTATCGTAAAAGGATCGTTTTTTTTTTTGAAACCGCTTCGGTTTCGTTCGCGAATCTAATTAAAAGTTTAGGGAGGACGAGAGAAAAAAAGAGTGATCTTCTGGGAGGGTTCGTCGATAAAGCAATGACGTCAACGATTTGCAAAATACAGAGATTTGCGTGCGGCAAACACACCTCCCAATATTGCCAACAACAGGTGATTAAAAAAAATCCGCGATAAAAGATTACATTGGTTATTTGGAATCGGTAAACAAATTTTATGAATAACATTGTTAAAGCGGCTCGCTAACGATTTTTATAAATAATGGGAGGTCTGCTCGGTCCCCAGGTAGTGGTTTCATCGATTTTATCCGGTGATATTGTTCAATAAGTCACGTACGATATTATACCAGAAATTGCATTGAAAAAAGGACTTCAAAAGACTACATTTGAAATATGAAAAAGCTTTGAATTTCGTGCATATTTGGTGATAATGTTTTTCAAACAGTGGTCATCCAAGTAGAATCGAGGTATTATCATCGAGGGAAATTTTAAAATGTATGTTGAAACGTAGAGATAACGAATGAGATAGTGATCCATCAATATTTTATTAATCTATACCTGACAAATAACACACTTGAATTTTTTTGCATGTGAAATCTAATGTTTAACTTAGATTAAAAACATCTGCAATAGAAACACAGATTTAAGTTGATAAGCTGCAGTTATTTAAGTGTTTCACTTTTGGAGGTCAATCCACCCACACAATTCAATGTTCAAAAATAAAGCGTTAATCGAACTTGAATTATTAATTATTTTTATGGTCGAAAAATGGTGGAGGCGCCTGTCACTCCGTCATATTAAATTCTCCTGAAATAGAAACGGTTCATCGTGAATTTTTTTGGGATACAACCTGAAGCAGTCATCAACAGTACCTCTATCGGCAAGTCTCAATTTTACCTTTAACCTTTCGAGAATTAAACCGAAAGCGGTAATATCATAAAACCCGTGAAATTTCCTCTCGTTCGTCTTTGATCTTTGGAGAGATGGTGAATCGATTATTTTGATTTGTGCATCCTCACTTTGAAAAGTGCGCGTGTTTGAAAGTGATGACGCCACACGTAATAATAAATTAATGGTGGTGATCATGGTGGCAAACATCATCAATGTAGATGCGAAATGTGGCTATTTAATTAGAAATGGAGGCCGTCTCTTGGAACGCGTGAAATTTCCGGTAAACACCCTCTCGAACCGCGGTTTTCGTGAATGGGTCGCGCTCCGAAAGCCATAGGGGATGTCCCCACCCCCGCCGCATCGAAGACAAACTCCGGTCCGTCAGTGTCGATTCGAACTCCGGCGTGTTCGAACTCGAACCGCTTAGCGTGAATTTTCTGTCATCGACGTCCCTGTGTTGTTATTATCTCCACAACTCACGATTTGTTTATGTTTATTATTGCGTAACCGCGCCAGTGTTGTAAATAAAAATATTCATTTGTTCGGTACAGACGGTGAGTGTGAGTGTGGATTGTGGACAGTGTCGCCGTCGATTTGAGATGATGATGAATTATTCTTCTTGTGCGTAACGACGAAACATTATTGTTGTGGTTGCGTAAGGTTGTTTTTTTATTAATTTATACGAAAACCTAAAACCAAAGGTGTGTCGGGCGTGCCATTATCGGGAAATTTCAACACGTGTTACGCGTAAAAATTATCAATGTAAATTGCATGGACGCTGATAAACGCGAAAATTGGCACCAAAATTGACCGAAAAACACCACCCACGTAAATGTACCCAGCTCGATCGATTTTCACCGATACTCCACGTATTTCAAAACAAAAAAATTAAAATAAATAATCGACGTACGAAAGTAGCAACTCCAGTCTATATGAAAATACCGTCCGGTTTAAATAATCATTTAAATTCACATGATGTTTCTCTCGCGAAACTAGAAGTCATAAAAAATTCAATTAACTGTGTCATTTGACGTTTCAAGTAGATATCAAGATAATTGTTTGTCACATAAACAGTCGGTTTTAAATGCCCAAGTTCTTCGTGTTGTGGTAGTACGGCTCTACGTTGAAAATGATGTTATTGTCTAGGAAACGGGCCACGTGACGTCAACACTCTAAAAATAAGGAGGTTAAAGAGGATGAAGATAATTACTTCGTTTTAGAGTCGGCTACCCTGGAAGTAACAGAAAACTCAACTCTAATTGTTGTGTTTTTAATAATAATCGTTTTGAAGAAATCCGGGAACTGGTATACTTTCAACTTTTTGCATTTCCATCGGTCGTATTTCTTTAATGTGAAATTTCCGCAAAAGGAAAAACGAAAATCGTTTTGAAGACTTCGAACTCGTAATCCTCGTATAAAAGCTGAAAGTCGAGATTTTTTCTAATTAAAAAATTCGTCCTGGGTTTTGGAGAAAATTAGAAGGCGTTGAGTTGAATCGATTTTTATGCCAGTTAGAAGAGAGAGAAGAAATAGAATAAACCATATACAGGCTGTATCATAAAAAACGCCCCAAGCCAAAACTCCATTATGTGTAAAGATATGACAATACTTCTTGGAACAAAGTTGAACAGTTTCTGGTCATCTATTGTTTGGCATAGATGCACAATCAATCCTGCTTTCTGTTTCACCGGAGTGACATTAATTTCAGTTTTTTTTTAAATGTAACACCCTGTATATTTCATTATGTTTAGATTCCTCATTAAATTGTCTTCAACAAGCTCACTTACTATTATTTATTACTACCTTTTGATTTTAGGCAATTTGAAGACTAAGTTAAATAAAGTAGGCTGTGGAAAGAATAGAACATTTTTATTCTTTTTATCTAAAAGACAAGCAAACGATTGTAAACGAAAAACCACTCAATTTTGAGCAAAAAGTATTACAACGTCTTTAAATGAAATTATGGTTTGGGGTGATTTTTATAATACAGCCTGTATAGAATAAATCCAGAAATAATAGGAATACGTCAAATGATGACTATCGTCATTCTGATTGATTTTTATGGCTTTTTGTATGCCCCTAATAAGTGGTGGTTGATTTTAAGAACTCGATTTGAATAGCAATCGTTGGTAAGGTTGGGTCACGTGAACAAGTAAATTTTTGTTAAGTGACTTAGATTGTTATGTTTTCATTAAGTATAAAATTATGTTTTTTATTTGGATATTATTTACGGTCAATAGAAGATATGTGAACACAGAAATACTACGAGCAATTTGTCTGTAAAAAATTACTTACCAATCTGTGCTTAGTTTAACAATAATGAATCGTAAAATTTATATGATTAATAACCCCAAAGTAATGACATATAATCATGTAACAATTTTTCGCGTATTTTTAGCTTTATTATTAATGTAAAACTGGTAAAAGGTAGAAATGTGCCTATCAGATTAACTTATAGGATAGTCACGTTTTGTAAGTTAAAAACAAAAAATCAAACGATTGGTAGTAGAAGCTGGTACCTTTCTCTTCTCATGTTATCACATTCTCGTAAATGTAATTTCATTAATCGATTAATTATGTATCCCGAAGTGAAGTGGTCTCACCACGGCTCAAATTCTAGTTGGAGAAATATATGTATTACACGAGTATCGATTATAGCTTTTGAGGTACTTTGGAAAAATATCTCGAGAATGTTGTCTATAGTTTGGTAAATTTTATCATTATGTAATAATAAATTATGTAATTTAATTATAAATGTGACAAGTGTTATCATAAAGCTTACATTAATTTCCACGAAAGATGTCATAAAACAGTAATTGTTGCATTTATTGTCGCTTAGTAGAAAATTGAAATCTTAATCAACTCACGGCACAATGACCTTTCCTTATTAACAGGAAATTAAAGTTGCGAATTGCGGAAATTTCAAGTTTTTTCCTTTGTCATCATTATAAGTCGAAGTTTTTCGTTCGCACTCCCATCAGAGAATTTATATTATTATCCTTTGGCGATCTTCATCATTCGATCACAATTCAACGCTCTCTAATCTTCTAATAATACTTATTGCTAAACGCGCATCGTATTATTGGCAATTTCCCCATGTCTACCACTTTATCGATTGTGTATCTTCCGGATTAGACCAGTCGACAGATAAAAGAATAACCAGATAACGTTTCCAGGATGTTATCGTTATTCCTGCTGAAGCCGTTCCGTACGTCCCTATTTGTAATAGGGTCACCTCCAATCATGGGCCGACATCACTGAATCAAACCCATAATGGGTTAGTGTGCGGGAAAAGACAGGACACTTAGTCAAGTGTCAGTGATGGTCTGACGTGTGTTAAAACATTTCAATCTGGCCTCTTCGGAGAACGATTCGACCCCCTCGACCCCTGAATCCCCCCCGACATCCAGGAAAGCCTCGACGCAGAGGGGCTCCTTGTCCCGCTCGTCCCTAGGAAATTGCTCCAGTCCGTCACTGCTGATGGCCTCGCCCCAACCGGAACACCCCGCTTTACCGCGAACCCTATCTACCTCAGTGTTAAGGATCAAACATCGCACCTCCTTCTGGGACAAGTTCTGGCACGAAAGGACCAAAAGGGATTTGTAAGTTGATCCCCGAATATCGACGAAAATACGATTTTTTACGACAGATAGTAAGCAACCCGGTATACATAACGATGGTAATTACAGGCGCCTGTAAACTTGACTCGGTATTGTTGGTTGCCCACACCACACATACATTGTTTTAGATTATAACGGGTGTTTATTTAAATTAGACTATTTAGCATCATAGTTGGCGGTGATATAAGTGTGCTGTGAGCAGACTACAATTTTTAATACACCCGGCGAGGTGTCAAATGTCAGATTAATAACTTTCAATATGATGGTTCGTTCACAATCGAACTTTCATGGAATCATGTATAGCTTTGATACCAAATTTAAAAAACCACCCGTTAGTTATTTACATATTGAAGGCTGTTAAGAAGATCATAACGACTAAGGGAGTTGTTTGTTCTCCCTCGGTCGTTATGGCCCTTAACAGCACGTGATACGTACAACGTTTTTCGTCATACTAAATTTCATATTTTAAAAACAGCTGAATTGCTAAGGAAAAACTGAATTGTTATTAATTATTAATGAACAATAACGCAACTAATAAAAGTGGGAAAGAAGGGTATAACAAAACAAGATACGCAAGAGAGATTTGATATTATGAGGTTGAACACTTTAAGCTCAGAAACTGGATGTGTCAAAGAATTTCAAAAAAATWCTTTACGGAAATCAGTTGAACTCAAAAAATGCACAGGCGAGAAAAGAATTACAGTAACGTTTCGATAATCCGAACGGAAAGTTGCCAGAGCCCGTGCGAATTAACACCGAATTCATTTTGGGTATTATCTACAATCTGATTATAATCTGAATTATTTCGGATTTTAGGCAGCATCTGTGTAAAAAGGGTTTATAAAGAAGTTCTAAATATTAAAACATAACATGTGTGTAACATTGTTTTTCTTTTATATTAAAGAAAGTAAATATTAATGTACATTGTGTATTATTAATTAATAAATACTAAATTAATGAACTAAAAACTTATCCAAAGTGGTTTAGGAATTATTATTAATCTTCAGTTCTAGGGCTTTTTGCAGAATTCTTCGTAATAGAATTAGGTACAGTGATGGACAGTGAATTTCGTCCACCAAATGAAAATTGAATACACAAAAATTCTGTAGTGTGTGCTTTATTGTCATGATAACTGACATTCAAATACGTATTGTCAAATTGAATCAAATTCGAACATGCCAACAGTAAGTGCGTTTAGTAAAATAAAAATTATCTCTTTGGTACAAGAAGGTATGTCCCAAAGACGTGTCCTCTATATTTTGGGGCATATCAAGGACAAAGGCAAGGAGCATCGAGCATTCTGTCAACATGACAGGCGTTAATCAAAATTCTAAAACAAAGTTAGAAAAAGTTAAAGAGTAATTTACACTTTTAATCTGTCAGGGAAATTGGGTAGACGAAATTCACTGTCCATCACTGTACATCTTGTAAAGGCAATTTGTTTTCTTTTCAGATGTAAAAATTAATTATGTGTTCTAAAAACGTTCGAATTACAGAGGTCAAGAGATCGGATTATAGAAATGATTTTACTCAATCAAGGTGTTCGAATTACGGAAAGTTCGTATTAGCCAGACATTACTGTATTCTGTCAAGACAGTGATGAATTTAAATTCTGAAAATATTTTAAACTGTCAAAAAGGCAGGCTGTTAAAACGTCTTAACAGCCCTGTGTGTTACTAGGGTATTATTTATTTATTGGCAGCATAACGCTTGTAAGTTGTTGAGTGTTACTCATACCACAATGGAGTAGGTACGACGAACATTAAAAAAAACTTTTGTTTTTTCGACAGGAAGACAAATTATCAGCCACGGAGCAGACCGAAATAGAACTTCCGAAAATAATGATACAATTGAAAACAACGCATTACTTTAGACGGGAATTTTTATTGCGGCATTATTTTAGATTTTTGATACTATTTTAAAAGAAAAAAAACAAACACTATTATATCGGCTTATTTTTAAAACTCTTGATATTTGGTTATAAAAGTGATGAATCTGAGGGATTGCAGATGTTTTCAATTTATATAAACATGGTATGTTTAAATGAAATAAAAGCGAATGGCTGAATTCTAAGTAAATATGTTTCAAAACGAAAAGTGGATTTTACTTCTCGTTCAAGCACAGTTTCGCTTCAAATGCGACTATATGAATGTCACATGTTTATGAGTTCGTAATAAATGGTGGCAGAGTTGTTGCCATTTATATCTTGAGTTCTGACATTCATTCATGCTGGAACGTATAACGTATCCCACTATCCTGCTCTCATTCGTTATCTCTAAGTAATTCTTTAATAAAAAATTCATTGTTTGTGATATGTTCAACAAAATTAGAAAAAAAAGTACTTCTTTTTGTCTACACTTTGGCAAAGCACATGCTGTTATTACACACCAGACAAATAATTTACCAAAACAAACAAAACATTTTGACGTGAATGCGTCATTTATATACCCTGCCAAAAATTTTGAGAATACTGAACTGCTATCAGGTTGAATCAGTGGTATTTTTATGTCGCTTGCGAGATATTCAGGATTGTGAGTTAATTTATATCAAGTTGGAAATATGTCGCCACAGCAGAAAAATCTAAGTCGGTTAAAAATTCCCGAAACTCGAAGGAGAATCGTTATGATGAAAGCTGCCGACAACGGCTAATTTTGAAATGAGCGCAAGTGCGTCGACATTGCATCCTTGTTCGTCGTTTCTTGTAAGAAATATGATTTTCTTCTAGATAAAAATAAATATTTCTAGGGGTAAACCACTAACTGTGGTTTCTTTGAAAAAAACAGGTGGAAAAAAATCAGACACTTTAATTGCTAATTTCATTATCACCGATCGGTCGGAGTGTCCCGTGTTTGGCGATTTACCTCGAAAAAAGAACGGTAAATCGGTCACTGTTTGAACAGTAAGGCGTCACTATCAGTTGTTCGTTAAAAGTTGAGTTTACAGATTGGAACGAAATTGATTAAAAGAACGTTTTTGTCTAGTTCAGAGTTTGTTGTTTTCCTCGGATGAAACAAAAACAAAAATTGGTACTGCTTGCGGGATTTTGGCTCGGTAAAGGAAGTCAACATGATAATTAATAATTTGCATTTTGGCAAGTTAAGCGTTGGAAATCGTGTTATTTAAATAATAAAGGGCAAGATGCTCATCAGTTAATAACAGAGTACGGTTCTAAGGATTTTGGAGAGATTTGTTCGATGAAACAGCGTTTTAAGTAGGAAACTTCGTTCGAATTATTACATCAGCAAAGACGAGTTTATGGAAACTGTAACGATCCTATCTTCCTCTCAATTTCACAAACAAGCTAAACAACACAAACTATCATAATTGCTGTTCCTGGCAGCTATATTTTGAAATTTAAGATTAATTGCTTTCGAAAGAGCCATCAAAACGTATTACCTTTACCAACAGACTTACTCTCATAACTATAGGCACTCGTAAACGCAAAAGCTCGCCGGATAATAATTACACAGGTTGTTAAAACTAATAACCGGTATTGAATCGATAAAGCTCTTGTCTTAATTCGAAGAGCCGGACAATAGGAGTGCCGTAGATTTTTTTCCTCTTTTTTTTTCCCGGAAGCTTGATTAGAAAAAGCTCCTTGACCTCGCCCGGAGCCAGGAACCCGGACTTTTAATTATGGCCGACTAGCATTCAACTAACGATCCTCATCGACGTTGTACACTCATTGATATTTACTGCTGCCTCTCTAAACGGCTCAATTCATATTCCAGGAACGAGCTTTAGGACAGTGGCGTGTGCCATCGATGGCTTTAAAAAAACGTCAACAATGATTTTTGACGTTTTATCGGTTCGAACGTGCTCGACCACAATGCAGATGTTTTGTCGGTTTTTGATTGAACGGTCCCAGGTCGGTTTTTTGCTAGTTCGGTCGCTTGTTTGTAATAAATAAACGAGACGAGCCGTCTCTGAAAGGCTTTTCAGCTTGTTCGCTGAAACGGGCGGTTGTCATAGCAACGGCTGCAGATTCAAAACAAGTACGGGGAAAAGGACCTCTCCACCACTACAGATATGTGACGGGGATGAATATTACATCTGCTCAAACTGAAATATGCCGAAAGAATTCGAACTTTGTTAGGATGGGGAAAAGAGAATTTACTCAAGACGCGAGACGGTTAAGACAAATTAAAACTGAATCAAAATATTGGAGTTGAAGGTTATTTTGATTAGTGTGGGGAAGTAATTTGATCACCTATTAATAGAGTGGTTGTTTGTGTAGGAAAAAGCTTCCCAACAACAAGTAGTCATTTCATTCGTTTTTTATTTTTCTCTTTTCAGTCATGGAGAAGATCTTATTGTCACACCGTTCGCACAAATTCTTGCCAGTTTGCGCAGTGTACGCAACAATTTCCAATGTCTTACCAACGTGCCCACCAACAAGTGAGTACAAACCACCAAAAAAAGTCAAATCAACCAGTGGTTGATTTGTGGTTAGCCATAAACCGATTTGCAACGTAAACATGTTCTAGGTCTCGCCGTTCTTCGGGAGCAGCGACGTCCGCCACCCCTCAACCAAGAAATCTTGTGCCTGGAGGTTAGTCATCATTTGTTTACAATTGACGAAAAACATTTTTATTTCGCAACATAAAAGAAGCACGTGATATCAATTTGACTTTTGGATATAAATTAGCGAACCGGATTTATCCGATTTATTTTAAAGCAATTCCGATAGTCGAGTTGTAGATCTTATGAAAATATTCGTTGACGTCACGAGTGATGATCGGTCGAAACGTTGACCTTTGGGTAATTTATTATTAAAGAGAATCGAAAGACAATGTTCACCCCGATGTTTTATTTTTTGCTCGAATAAATTGGACTAATGGCGTCCTGACGACGAAACCCACGATTCGTTTCGTTACGGCGTTAATAAATAAACGAATTTGGAGAGTGGAAAACAAGCATTTAATTTTTGCATTATGATAATTAATTTTGCACGTGGAACTCGATTTACATATCGACGGATTGCATTCGTAGGTGGATGGATTCAAATTATAATAATTATATAAATTCAGTAATTTTCTTTTGTTTTGCACACCATAAAAAGATTTTTTAAACGACAAATTCCTGTTTTCTTTATATGTCGACATTCATCATTCGCTTTCCATAAACAGTTGACACATTTCCCATGATCATGTTATACAATTTAATTACGCCACATTATTCCCATAGTTTTCTTCGAAATTTGTTTTATGTAATTTGTTATCGAAAATTCGGCGAAATTTGATTACAGCTTTAGATTAATTTTTGTTTTTTTGATTTTCTTTTTGTCTGATAAAGCACCATATTCAATCAGGTACACAAAACCATAAACAATGTTGGTTTTATCATAATTTATCTTTTTTTTAATAATAGCAATTGTTATTTCCCAATAAATTCTTAAGGTGAATTTTTTTTACAGATGAAGCTTACATGAAAATGGCCATGGAGACGATGGAAGAACTCGATTGGTGTTTGGACCAACTCGAGACCATCCAAACCCATCGGTCCGTCTCCGACATGGCGTCACTTAAGGTAAGTTTTTTTACCCACGTGTGAGATTAGTCAATCTGATTTTTTTCGGAAATTCGACGATGCGATGGTATAAAACGTTTACCGTGTTTGATCGAGTGGCGATCAAGTGCTGATAAAAACGAATAAAGCCTTGATGTTTATTGAATAAATGCAACCGTAGCACTTTTAAACTTTGTAAAACATGTTCTGATTATAATTGTGTAGTACACACTTAACCAGATTTTTATCAAAATAGGTGGCTTTTCTCGTGCATATATAAACCATTAGGAGTTGTTTATACTGTTCCGACAGGTATTTAGTGTTAATTGCGATCATTTTTCATTGTGAAGGTGAACCCTGGCAAATTTGGGTTGGAGGGAATTGGGGCGTACGCGACAATGGCTGATGAACGCAAATATTTGCACTGGAAATCATAAAATAAAACATTTCAAGCGCTGAACGTTGAAATTAACAAATTTTCGAATAAAAGCACAAAACCGACGTCACTAACTTCTGGAAATAAACTGAAACGTTTTCTTTTTTCTTTTGCTTGTTGTTCCAAGGTAAAGGGTTATTTTTTTTATTAGAACTTTACACGAACGAAAAAAAGTTAAATAAGTGATTGGACAGTTAGGGTCGTGCTATATGCTGAATTTTTAAGGAAAAATAGATGTTCAACCCTGCTCTAGATGTTGTCTGTGAAATATTTATCGTAAACCATTTTAAAAATGAAACAAGAGAAATCTCCGAATTTTGATTTTGTTTTAAACTCGTGGCTCCGAATTTTAGAATTTTGATTAATTTGCTTTAATTAACTATAAACGGTGGCTTGTTGTAATAAAGAAGTTGTGTTGAAAATTTTGATTACTTCCACGAAAATCTTTTGGCTTGGAATCAAAAGCAAGTGGTTCCTCGTAAACCCGATTTGATTTTGGAACACTCTTGTTCTAAAAATGATTTATAAATACGTTTCTACAAAAACAAATTAAACAAAAATATTGTCCGTAATATAATTTGGAAGCCTGTGATTGTATATTTATTTAAAAAAGAGAGAAATATCAGAGAAATAATATATTTTCATCAACGTATTGATTGTCTATACACAGTCGAAATGTTCATTTTGGCTACTATTGTCGAGATGAATTTGTAATAATGGAATTATTGGCTTACTTTTGATGGAAAGCTTGCGAATAGGTCCAACACAACATATTAAAATACGTACTCTCTCGAATATATTTTTATATACCATGGAGCTATTTCTGGCATAAACCATCAATATTTAGCTGCAGTAATTCATCCTGACGTCGAATTATACGAATTTTTCCGTTATTAAAATGGTTCCAGTTGCCACATTATCACATTACACCGGAAACAAGGATTAATGAGATTTTTTCCGAATTTGAAAAATGTTTTGTTTTCAGAAGTAAATCTTATAAATCGTAGTTAAATTTGTGATTCCAAGGCAAAACCTGAAGTGTTTTCTTTTAGAGAAATATTTCCGTACTCGAATCCTTGTACGATTAGTGATAATTTAAAAAAAATAGTTTGAAGGTAATGATAACCAAAGTTATGCAATGGTACAGATATTATAAACAAAAATCGTTTGATATCTGGCAAGTTTACAGCATCTATTTCGAGTTTTAGTGTCTTGTAAAGTTCAAACAGATTTTCATAATGTTTAGAGGACCTTTACATTTTTGCGGAAAACCAACCTCGAGATGAATGTAAATTTCAGAAAATTGGCCTCATATGTCCTCATAGTTATGAAATTTATGACTTATATTCATCGTTTGCACAATTAGTCAAAAAATGTCTTTCAAAAATCCCGTTTTTTCGCGTGAGTTTTTCGTGTTATATTACACACATGGCAAATATTAGCTATAACATCAGTTGTAATTTATGAAAATTTATAGCAGCTACACGTGACAGAAGTTTCTTCCGTAATCTAGGTGCTTTGTGGCAATCTAAGATGTTAAGTAAATAATGTAAAAATGAATAATATCAAGCGACAAAACTCAAAAATACGGTAAATTGTGAAAACACTAAAAATTGACTTAGTGAGTCGTGTGATGTGAATCAGATTTTCTTAGTCATAATGCTTGAACGGAAAAGAATGAATTCTGATAAAAAATCATTAAGTCGACGTTCAGTCTAGCAGAGAAACGAAGTGACTCCAGAACTCGTCTCTTAGGTTAAAGGTGCCGATAATATCATGAAACCCTGACTTTTGCTCCTTATTAAAATGACCAAAGAAGGAAGTATTTTTAGCAGCAGTAAATACAATTTAATCGCGATTATTCAACTGTATACAAATATTTAATATTTTGTTTGCATTGCCAACGTGATAGTTTTCATATCGGTGACAATTTTCGACAAAAATAGATACAAAACCAATTTAAAACATAAAAACAGTCAACGGTCTGATCGTAATTTGTGTTTTCCTTTTGAAATTTGAACCGGGTTCGGGGTTGTTGTACCGGTACAGGTTTTTTTTCGAGGAAAAAGCTCTTTATTACCGATTTTCCTGTTCCACATTTCGCACTTATCTTCGAATTCTGCCGGTGTTATTTATAGTCATTTGTTAAATTGTTTTCGTTAGCGTCTGGCGAATTGCGACTACGTGAGAGGATGCATTCACGGACTTCAAGGAAAAGTCGTGTGAAAATTTCCCTTAGATCTGGGGAAGACAAAATTAAGTTCGGGTCCAGAGTTCGTGTAAATTCAACTGTTCCGTTCCACGAACGTGTTCTCTCCTTGTGTCCAATTAATTACGTAGATAAAGTACACAAATTGGCTTAAATGGGTTCACTATAAATCTCCTAGTTTATTATTCGATGACGGAATAGTTTATGTCCCAATTATTTTATTGTTGTTTCGCTTTATTGTAGAAATCACAATTTTGTCTATCAAAGTGATTCATTTGGTAATTTTTCTACGTACCTACCAGCTCTAATTAAAATTATCTGTCATTGTTATGGTTCTCCACGTTAATAATAATTGAGTAATGATGTACAATGTTCGCTAGTTCTATTATGGTAATTTGTTTTGTCAAACTACAATTGCCTTGGAAATTTCGCGATGCTTTCTTAATTGAAATTAAGGATTTTCCACTTAAAGGCTTATCAGGAAGTACCAGCGCTGGCGACCACAAACCATTAATAAAAAAATCGGTAAAATAAAGTGACGTTAATGGATAAATTTGATTATAATTGGAGTTTTTCTGAATCATCGCGATGAAAACGAAAAAGCAGGTGATCAGTTCCCATTTTGGAAAAAAATATTCGATCGATAAAAATTACATTAGAGAAAGTTTTTAATAGAAGAACCTCAATGTCTATTTTCTGAAACCATTGTTTACGAACTAAACTCCAAGACGATTTCAAAGCTCAACAGACTCAGACCTTAGCTTTGACAACGTCTATCTTCCCTGTGAAACCAACATCGTCCTTTTAAAACCGATCGGAAATCAAACTTTTCAACAACCGGCTTTTCCAACAAACTCGAACAAACATTGAATAGAAATCAGAATTCGTCCAGAGTGAATCTTTTAAATAAAGCTGGTTTTTGTACCGAAATCCGAAAATCAGTTTGTTATAGATCTTCAAATTAATCAGATAATTAACGTTTCGTTTGCCAGTAAACAAGCGGGGCCAAAAACGAGAAGAAGCGACTGTTAAATTTATGTTATTGTTTTGCGGGGGACCTTGGACAGTTTAAAATTGCAAAAAATATTTACAATTGGATTTCGAGAGAAATCTTTGCGTATAATAGACAAAGTGGGTGACGTATGATCGTTAAGTTTATCGTCATTAAATGTGAACGTCGATTTTTCCCTGTATGGTTGATTTTATTACGTTACAACCTTGATCGGGCATATTTCATTCATTGTTTCTCAACGAAATAAAAAACATCCGGATTTTTTCTTTTCTCAACAGAGAGCTTTGTTTTCGCGCCTCTATTTTTATAGCATTTACATCTATCGTATATTATAATAATATGTATAATAGATCTATAATTATATGCGAAAATATACAATGTTCTGAATTTGACGTGAATGAATTCAGATAATCGGCACCATTATTTCAAGATTCCTCAATTCATCGAGGAAATTGCTCATGCTCATGTCAGTATAAAAGCCAATATTAATTGATCCAACTATTACATAACCGAAGGAGCTCGCACTTGTCTTGCCTTTTATAGAACGCAAATTACGATTAAAGGAGGTCGATTTGCAACACAAACTAGTTATATTTTCGAAGAATCATCGGTTATCACATCAAATATTTGCCATAATAATTTTGTGAGTGTAATTTGCCGAAAGTCGGTCAATTTTTCGTAAACAGTATGGTACAATAAAATTAATCTTAACGAAAATTGGAAAAAAATGGCTTATCAGTGCGTCATTGTCAGATTGCTTTGTATGCATATTCGCGGCACAGTCTCAAAACACACATATTTAACAGAGTAATAATAAAAAAATTGAGGTCGTTTGGACCAAACAAACACCTGTCCTAAATGCGAAAGATAAGGAAGTCGAAAATTTCCTAGCTGAAAACGGCCACCATCCTCAATTGTTGAATGCAAATAGACCCTAGGAGGATGTCTTTAGGTGTGTTGTCGTCGATGATTCACCTTTTGGGCTAAATTGACGTAAATTTCGTTGAAAATGGAAATCGATGCAATACTATTTGGAATCGCAGGAAATTCGAAAGCTGAGTTGTCGCGGTTTTGTTTCGTAAATGCTTTTTAACATGTTTTCAACGGTCACGCGTGCCTTCCGCTTATTTGCATAATTTGTTGTCTTAGTTAATGCGAGGTGAAGGCACTTAATGGATCCGATTATTCAGAATGTAGCGAATTCGAAACGAACGGGGCAGACGAATGCAGAGGGTGTGGTGAGGGAGAAATTGACGTCACTACGGTAGCGTGATAGAATTATTAATCGCATGTACAAGCCTGTCGATAGGTTGGGGAAAAATGAAACTATTTATTACAATAAAAAAAATCACAACTGCATGTCCGTTGACATTGACGAGGTGGTAATGGGTTCATGTGACATTTCCTTCATTAAACTTCATTTGCTACGTGTAATTTAATAAAAATTACGTAAGTGATGCTAAAAAACTGAATTTACATGCTGAGAGCGGACGCCTTTGTTTACTTTGAGTGTGCTTCCGCGTTCGGTAATTGTATTTTCTTACTAAAAATAGAAAAATGCTGCCAAACATGCGGAAATCGTAATGTGGAAACAAAGAAGGGAAAATGGAAAATAAAAAACCGAAAGCTCCCATTCACAAAAGAAAACGAGTCATTCTTTCGTAAAGGGAATGTCAAAGAGAGGAATCGAAATAAACAAGCACCAATCGAATCAAGTAACGAGGGAGGTAACAAAGCTTTGAATTGGTAATGTCGATTTGAGCGTCATTTTAAAACTAATTTTATTCAATATTCTCCACACTTGAAAAAAACATCGAGGCGAGGTAGAGTCTGATGACGGACAGATTACATTTTTCCGTAAGTTTACGAAATTCCACCGTATTTATGTCCATCAAAAACGCCAAGGTCTGCTTAATGTTCAAACGAACTGCGTTTAGCTCTCCCGAATTAATCTCTTTCTAAATCGATCATAATTTAAAACAGCGGGATCGACTTTACCATTGTCCCTAGTGGAATACCCTATAATAATTTATTAGACGGATTAGCATGTTTTTTGTGTACCCTACACAATTGTTGTTGCTTTTTTCCGTGTCATGGAAAATACAAGCCATCTATTATAGTAGCAATTACGTCACGTTCATATGAATTTTTTATTAATTCTGTTATTTTTACCCCAAGGTTTGTCAGGAACGACCCGATTTAGATAATTTAGAACTGGGTCTTCGATTGACAATAACGTAAAAATAATCGCCATCTGTTCTGAAAGTTTTAATCCTCGTCCCAAAAAGATTGAAAACACTCGAAAATAATTGGATAAAGAATAAACAAAACGCTAAATAGCCGAAATTATCTCGACGTCTAGCGTAATATTTACACCTGATAACACAGAAAACGATCTATATAAAATAATCTGAGCAACGTTGCGACGAAAATGACACACATTCAATGAGTCAACAATAGTCGGAACGCAAAGCGCGACACGTATAATCGGAAAACGCAGTAGGCAGCGCGGCCGAATCCTATTTAAGAATTCGCGCTTAATCGTTCACTTTAGTCGCAAGCTAGGCATAGAGTCGTGATAACATATTCGAGCTTTCAGCCTAGAGCGAAGTGAGCTTTGTGTTATTATAACAAGAGACAAGCGGGTGATAGTGACCGTGGATTGCTACAATGTTATCCTCGGATGAAAATCCGAAAGCCCGCAAAAGGGTTTTGACTAAAGCACTGTCTCAGGACGAAATCCTTGCGGCCGACAGAGTCCCACCCAATTCTGAAAAAATTTTTGACAATTTACCCTGGTTGAATATCATGGCGGATATTGCTATTACTGCGGCTATTGCCGAAATTAAGGTAAATATTTAATTATTAATTACAGAAATTTCTGAGGTCGATGTACTTATAACACTGAAATTTCTGCTGAAATTTATTACAGTTGAGTGAACCTGAAAATGATTTACTTGCCTTAAATTTTACGAGTTAGGGTTAGTTGAGGTACTCATAGCTGGTCACGCGGATCCGTCTGATATCTCGTTTAACCCTTTAGCAATTTTCTAAAAATAAATTCTTAGGTTTGATTGTTAACACGCTTTACCATCGTGACATTAACAAATGTTATTGCCAATAATTGCTTGCTATCGGAACAGGCGCGAAGAAAAATAAGATAGTAACCTACGTCAATAACACTTGCTCCAAGCATGTCTTCTTCATACAGCTGCATAATGATTTGACTTATCTCAATCGAATGTTTATAAATAAACCTTAAGCTCGCGACCGGATCAAATCCTATCGTTTAAGCTTTATCAAACAAAATTTAATCTCTTTTAACGAGCTTAATAGACGCGCTATTACGATCAAAAGAGCAACACAAAATCTTATGATGTTCCGTTTTCGTTCTCTGATGTTGGCACCCAACTCTGAGAGAAGCATTCAATCCTTTAATCTGGAAACTATTACAAACAACGGTCACACAAGTTAATCGCTTTGTTTGTCCAAGGATGAAATTAATTAAATAATTACGTAAAAGCATTGTTCTCGTGTTAAAAAGGCTTTAAATTTATTGAAGAGACTTGGAGGCATCGTGTGGGTGCTTTTCGTTCTTTTTTTGCCACGGACTTTGCAAAGAACAGACACGCGTCATTATGCGGGGGCTTTTCAATGCATTTGAGCCCATAACGGCTCGAAAACTTGTCTGTATTAAAAATACTTTATTATTACATTCTAAATCGAATTTTTGTTACAGTTCAAACGGATGTTGAACAAAGAATTGTCACACTTCTCCGAATCCAGTAAATCCGGCAATCAGATATCTGAGTATATCTGTTCGACTTTTCTCGGTAAGTTTTCCAAGCGCAAAAAAATGTATCTGTATTCCATTGACTAAACTTTTTGACAATTGTTCGGAGCAGATAATGGAATTGGATACAATAGTCTATGGAACGAAGATGGTGACAAAACGTAATTTGCGATATTCTTTGTTACAGATAAACAACAAGAGTTGGACTTGCCGTCGTTGCGTGTCGATGAAGGCACTGAACCTCAGCCGAAGGGGACGCAACGAAAGGAGCGTAACCGCGGTCCTTACTCGACTATGTCCCAGATTTCTGGGGTGAATAGGAAGCCTTTATGTCACACCAATTCGTTTACTGGCGAACGTCTGCCGTTGCACGGCGTCGAGACGCCCTTCGAAGAAGAGCTCGGCAAGTGTCTGGCCGAGATCGATAGGTGGGGCATTGACATATTCCGCATCGGTGAAATGAGCAATGGACGACCCCTCACCTGCGTGGCTTATACGACTTTCACGTCGAGGGAACTTCTCAAATCAATGATGATTCCACCGAAGACGTTTATAACGTTCATGATGACGCTGGAGGATCATTACGTGAAGGACAATCCGTTTCATAATTCGTTGCACGCAGCCGACGTTACACAGAGCACGCACGTGCTATTGAACACACCGGCTTTAGAGTCGGTTTTTACTCCCTTAGAAGTCACTGCGGCACTGTTTGCCGCTTGTGTCCACGACGTTGACCATCCTGGACTGACTAATCAATTTTTAATCAATTCGAGTTCTGAGTTGGCACTTATGTATAACGACGAAAGTGTTTTGGAGAACCACCATTTGGCGGTGGCATTCAAATTACTCCAAAACGAAGGTTGTGATATCTTTATAAATATGAATAAGAAGCAGCGTCAGACGTTAAGGAAGATGGTGATCGATATGGTATTAAGTACCGATATGTCAAAACATATGAGTCTGCTGGCGGATTTGAAAACGATGGTTGAGACGAAAAAAGTGGCCGGTTCTGGTGTGCTGTTGCTGGACAACTACACGGACCGTATCCAAGTGTTAGAAAACCTTGTGCACTGCGCTGACTTGAGCAATCCGACGAAACCTCTGGCCTTGTATAAGCGTTGGGTTGATTTGTTGATGGAGGAGTTCTTCCAGCAGGGCGACAAAGAACGTGAAGCGAAGATGGACATCAGTCCGATGTGTGACAGACACTCGGCAACGATCGAAAAATCCCAAGTCGGCTTCATCGACTATATCGTCCATCCGCTATGGGAGACGTGGGCCGACTTGGTGCACCCCGACGCCCAAGACATCCTCGACACGCTGGAAGAGAACCGCGACTGGTATCAGAGCGCTATTCCTCCAAGCCCGCCGGCCGAAGATGTGCCCGATCAGCAACGGCCCGGCATCCGCTTCCAAGTGACCCTTGAAGAGGGCGAAGGAGAAGCCGAAGCGGAAGCTCCGATGTGACGGAGGCTGCTGGGCCTCTGTCGGAAGCTGACCGAGAAGGTGCAGCAGTGGTGGCGCGTGCGGCAGTAGAGACGCAGGCGTCCTCTGTCGGCCACCCCGCGCTGGCGCGGCGTTTGTTATGTTTGCATCGCTTTTGACTGAATCTCCGGGCTCGCGCGCAGCCTGTCCCCGCAAGTTCCTGGGAGTGTACATTATGTTTAAGTCATTACTCGTTCTTGTTTTATTTTCCTGCCTTTCCACGACCCTCGTCATGCCTTACGTAGGAAGACACCACCCCCTACTGATTATACATCTGTATATATATTTCATAATGTCTGTCGGTGTAATACTCAGCCCCATTTATGTATAGGTACTATGTGTCATGTCAGCTATGTTACACAAGTGAAGCTCTCTCCATTTTAAAACGACTTTTTATTTCAACCAACCAAACCTAAAATTAATTTTTCCAAATATTCAAACAATAAGTCCTTAACAATATTTATTCTCATCATACAAAATATTACAAATTGACTTAACAGTATTATGTATAAAAAAAAGTCGGTTTATTAACGATAAATGATACTTCTCTTAGCAAAGTCATGATGATCGTGCGCAATCGTTAGTAAATTTGCTTTAAAACTAAACAATATTAAATAAATGGACGGATCAATTGTCACAGCGATGAAAATTTTATAGTACATAATGATGCAAATTGCATAACAGTTCAAGGCAATTCAAGGCCACATAAACAGTTTTATCACTACTTACATTTAATAAAGGCGGAATGATAAGTATTGCAGTGAACACTTAGATAGAATGTTGGCAATCAAAAAAAATAAAACGGTGTATGGAACCTTTCCTACTCCGACACCGAAAAATAAGTTCAAATCGCGAATCGTAGATGAATTACTCGATTAACATAAAATGTGTAAAATCGCTATACTCGCGGATAATAAAAGAATAAACGGTTGGCTAATAATACCTGAGTCAGTCCCTAAAAATCCAAAGGTAAGAACTTGGACGACGTCCTCCGATTCTAGCCATGGATTGCTGCCGTCATCAAAGTGCATTGGACATTGGTCACCTGATAAATTTCCCTAATTACTTTCCACACCAAAAAAATGCAGAATGTAACAAATACAGAAGTCTATTCTGTAGGTTGCCATTTTTCCAACACAAAAAACCGAACAATTTATAGCACGGTTGGAATCTTCCGTAACGCCACTGATAGCATCGGGAGAAAATAAGAAAGTATTTTTATCTATTTTCTACCGACACTATTAAGTAAATGAAGCATAATACTTACGTTCTCTCTCGTACTCCTGCATCTCTATAGCGACAGCAGCGCCTTCCGTGTGATTCCACGAAGTCACATCTTGTTTCAGATCACAGAACGGCCCGATAGCTGGAAATGAGAACCTATCTTCTGCAAATTTTTACATCAATCACTACCAACCTTGCGACATTAAAATTCTATTCAAGTCGGCTCGTTGATACACCCAACACCGATACTTCGAATATGGATCCAGCGCATCGTAGGTGATTAAATACGACTTTAAATTCTCTTTCCAAAAGCCGATACATTTCATTTTATAATCGGGATCACTGTAAATATCCACGGGCCGCCCCAAGTGATCCACGGACAGGCAATAATTCTCGTCAATGGCAATTTCTTTTTGTTCTGTATCGCATACCGAAAAATCCGAAATGTTTTGTTTACAGTACGTGTTGGGGCGTGGACTCAGCGTAACACCGCCCAAGATACTAAAAAAATGGTATGTGAATATTGCCAATATATCACTCAAGACGAATTTTTACCGTGTTTCAAAAAGCACTTCTCCCTTTTGTGTGAAATTGAATTTTCCGGCGATAGGGCATTTGATCGGTACGGGATTTCGTTTTAAGTACAAATCGTAGCGCCATTTCTCCTTATTTTTGAATTGCACCCACGAACAGACCGTAGGGAAGTCGTCCTTAATAACAGCGATGCCTTTCCGGTATCTAATTATGTTGTGATGCTGGGGGACAAAATCGAAGCAGACATAATCTTTTTGACTGGAATAAAGAAAAACATTGGTATTTTGCTATTGGTTTCTTATCGCAGCCCACCAGCCGTCAACTGTTAACCGCGCCATCATGACCCTAGTATCCCTTTGTTCCCGACAGACATAGATCGACCTCCTGAAACGACCTTCGTCGGGATAATAAGTCTCGATTATATGAGTCTCGTTTATCACGATATCGGCGTCAATATTGGCAGTGTTGATCCATTCGCCGGTAAAGTTTTGAGGGAGGCGACAGCCAGGTTCGACCACCTCGCTCTTGACTGAAAAAATGCGTTAAATGGAAATACAGAAAGTAACAGGACATTACTTGGCCATATGTGCAACCTCTCGGGACTCTGTTCAACAGTCTTCAACGTGTTACATTCGGCAGTAATTGAGACACCAATATACAGATCGTCGTCCCGATTTTTTAACAAACAACGGAATTTCTCGTCATCTCGTGACTCTTTTGTGTTGGCCACAGCAAAGTAATGGTTTTTACCAACAAACCACGCTCCAAGACAACTATACTCGACGACTACAAAAACAAAATAAAAACTTTTTTTTGTCAAGTGTTTTATTTTACCTCCGTCAAAAGTCCCGGTCATTCCAGGGCACTTCTTGTACGTAATGTTGAATTTCTGATTGGAAATTAAAAACTGAGATCCGGCCGTTTGACAAGATTTAATTTGGGCATCAGGATGACGACACTCTCCCGTAAATTTGAACCTATTTTGATACGCAAAATTCCAGACTCCTTCAAGTGAAGACCGACAGTTAATTGGGACGTAATTTTCAGAGAACAAAGTTGTAATTTGTTGACTGCTGTCCAAATTGCGACATACACGTTCCACTGATGCCTCGTAATGATTTACGGCAAAACAAGGGGCTGGAAAAAAGGTTAAAAAAAATGGAACCTACATTAGAAAACAGTTACTTTCAATTTTTTCCAAGACATTAACAGTTCGGACAATTATTTTCACACAAGTGTGACAATCGTAGTTCCTAAAAAGCATCGTATAATTTACATGGAAGTGATCCTGGATGTCCACACATTCCCCACGATCAGTCATCATCCGATCGTTGATTTCGACATGATTATTTACATTATTTTCCCGGGAGAACCATTTCCCCCTGAGTGTGACCGGTATCGTGCAGTTGGCATCGATTTGAGGGGCTGTAAGCGCAAAATTGAGAAATTAAAAACATAAACATAACCCCAAAATGCCACTCAGTACTCGTAAAAGATTTAGATAATCTCTTACGGACATACTTACCAAACACATATAGATAGAACAGTGAGATAAGTACGTATTTGTACATTGATATTAACATTTTATCACATAAATGAGATAACTATAAGGGCAGGCACGCCCCAACGAACTTAGTAATCAAGTCGTGACGTCACGGCAGTATTGTTGGTTGCCTATCCGGTTATTGTTTATTTAAAAAAAAATCAAAATGAGCATTTCTTCCGATTTGAATTGAAAGCAAATAATGTGCTTTATTTGTCGATAGATCAAGGACTTTTGTAGTGTTTGTTTGGTAAATTTTGATTAAATATTTGTAGCATAACATGTTGAACACTTTTGTAGCTATTATACAGTGTTGAAAATAAACAATGAGTTTAAAGTGTACAAAACTACAGAAGCAGCGTTTTAACAAAGGTGAACTGGTGCATGTGATGTAAATATGTATAGCGTCCCCCCTGCACCTGCTTCAATAATCGCTAACAAAGCTGGCGCAGGTACTTAAAAGTTGAGATTACCCTTGCGCTCCAAGTTACGCTCGAAAATTGCAGTTTAAGTTCTAATTAAAACAAAGTCTCTCGGAGGGTTGCGGTAGGTGCGAGATGTTTGAAGATAATCTCCTTTTGTCACTTGTTCCCTGTTCGAATCAACGTATACAATCTTATTGTTCTATCTCGTCTTGACTCAATTAACTCTGAACGCGACCGAATAAGCTCCTTTGTAGAAAGAGATTTTTTCGTAATTACGCTTCTGGTAAAGATTTCTTTGTAAGAAACGGCCGTACGCCTGACTTATCCCTGTGTCACATCCCAACAGCCAATTACAAAGTCCGAGACTATGTTTTTCCAATCTGAATTTTTAATTAAAGCCGATGCCTACCAAAATCCATTAGCGATAATTCATACGCTCGCAACGCGTCATGGATGTCGTGAGGGTTGATAATAGCGCAGTAAAACGTCCGAAACAGTAGCAATCACGGTAAACATTCCGCGATAACGGCACGAAACTACATTTCGGTAATGGGCTACGTGTCACATTGTTGTCACTCAAATATACCTCGCACGATGAAAAAACATCACAAAAGGGACTCTTTTTGTCGGCAGTTAAATTAAAAAGTAAGTGCACGTGACGTTAATTTCATTTAGGTGCTTCGGATGGCCTCTGCTCCTGCCATCATACACGAGGAAATCTGAGCAACTCGAGTGAGCAGGGGTGTCGTGTTGTTAGAGTTTCGATGATCCCTTTGAAACCAGTACCTACCCACCGAAATTTATTCCAATAAAACCATTACAAGTTTTGTTGTTGACGTAATTAGAAGAAATTGGACTTTCTTCTTCTTACGAAAAGGCGAGACACAAACTGAAAGCGAATGTGTTGTGTTTTAAGATAATTACATCTTAGTATAAGTACCGGTGGTATTAGTGTACATACAAAATGGGCATTTATTAAACTTGTACAAGAATAGCATGGTGCAACTTTACTGTGCAACTTTAGAACTTTGTAACACTGAAATTAAATGAAACAACCATGACTTTTTATTTCAAAACACCTTCTGTTACAAAGTTTCAGTATTAAAACAAAAGCAGTAAAGTTCAAACGTACTAATTTTTCTTTAAAGCAATGTTAATCCTGAAAATGATGGTTGAGGAGAAGTTTCAACAGTGTAAATTAAATGTGTGTAGTGATGAATTATGACCAAATAACCTCTTTATTCCTCGTTTATGTGCAAAATTATTAATTATTCAGATAGCGCTACCACATTTAGAGTAAATACTATAATTTGATACGGTACGTTTATTAATAAATCTGTCACTTACATATTCATTCATACAGGGTGTTTTAGTGTTTCAAAATTCAATTATCATTAAAATGTTTCTCCGTATCGTAAATTTATTTTTGCATTTTACTCTCTTCATTTTAACAAGTCATTCAGTGTGTCAGGTGGAAGAAAAAATACATATTATGTACATAATTTGTAATTGAATATTGTATTGAATATTGAATATAACAGACATTGTCCATGAAAAGGAGTAACTTTTTAAACGGGCTTTCGTGGTTAACTCAGTAAATTCTACCAACATGTAATAAGGGACATCATAGTTTTTACTCGATAGTTAAAATGAGTGTAATTAAATGTATAGGTTGCCAATAATAATCAGTAGCGTGGCCAGCGGGGTCACCAGACTTTTATAAATCTTTAATATGCGGGAGTGTGTGTGAACGCAATTATCTCTTGCATGAAGGGTGCAAGTCTATTGAGACCGAAAATGAAGTTTTGAACATTTATACGGTAGACGCAAGTATTGATGACCCACTAACATTGACACTGTTCTACCTTTCTTGCGAAAAAATAAGTTTTTGTTTTTACTCTGTTCATCTGGTTTAGTTTTTTTTTTCAACCTAAGCGGGTATGGGTTTTAAGTCTAAAAATATTTTTATTATAACTCAGAACTAACGCGTTTGCTGAAAAAGTTGGACATAAAAATGGACCAGTTCTACAAAAAAATATTTGGTTTGGTTTGTAGGTACAGGGTTATTTATGAGAGGATTATTTCTAATTTTTTTGTCGCAACCCATTATATTGCAACAATTTCTTGATGTCAAATTTTGAAGATAATTTTATCTGAATCCACGATATCTGTTATTAGTCTTGTCTCTTTGACATTAAAGCAAAAAAATCACCTCTCAAACGACACGACATCTTTTGTTATCGTTTACCAACCGACTAGGCAAATGTTTAGAAGCCGATGGTAGACACTTCTAACACCTTTTACCTTAAATTAACATGTTAATTTATTTGTTGAATTTTAATTAAATATTGGTTAAGTGTCAACCTGATATTTCTGGCAAATCTATCCAACTTTCTTTGATTTCTATTATAAAAGAAATAACATATTTAATTTAGCAGTTAGTGATATTGGTATTGTTGGTTGTGGCAAAAAAAATCAGAAATAACCCTCTCGTGAATAACCCTGTATAATAAAGGGTCATTCAAAAGACCATTTCGTCACTCGAATTGTTTTTAGAAACTCTCAAAATTGTTAGTAAAAATTGTGTATTCACGTTTCCTAGGTAATTGCAAAGACGCAATTTCAATATTAATTTTCACTAATTATTATTATTTAGTTAATTTTGTGTTTTACGAGCAAGAGACGTTAAAACATGCTTACAAAATATTAAAAAGTAAACAAAAAATGTGCAAATACGATGTTAACAGGTGACAGTAGAGTTTAAAAGAAGTCAAAAAAACTAAACTTACCTTATCCGAATGTTTATAGTTTCTGAGATATAGAGGGTACAAACTCCACTTTGGCGTTGGAAGAATTGTTAAAAAAATGCAATATAAACGAAGATTAACCTACTGAGTACTTTTTCCCAAAGTTTATATTGTTACAGTCTATTTTTTTATTTGGTGGTGGGGGTAGTGTGAATCAAGAACACGACATGACCTCCGTCTGTTTTTGACATTTGACATCTTCTGACATTTTGGTACTAAAGTCAAAAATTAAAGCTTCTCCCTGGTATTAGGTTTTTTATAGGGCTTGAATTACGATTGTGATGATGATATAGAGGGTATAAATACAAGGTGATTCACGAGGAATAATGAGCCTGACCAAATTCTAGATGCAACCACCATTACTTTTCGCAAGATATTTTGCAACAACTGTAATGTTGGTTGCATCGAAAATTTGGTCACTTTTCCCTATTAAAAAAAATTACAAATGACCTACGTGACGGTAAGACACACGTCTTACGTGACGTACGTCTTTAGCTCTGCGTTACTTTAGTCGCATTTGTTAAAGTAAGATGAATACGTGACGTGGTACATCTTGCGAATTATTAATTAATCCACACGCATAAATAAAAAAACTGACTTTGCCAGTCGGTAACATTTGAGGTACCTAATGAAATTTGGTCGTATCTTCAACAAAAAAATGAATGCAAACTTTTTACCGTTTTATGATTTTTTTATATGCCTATGTATATGTATTTGCTAATATTACCTAACTCATTTTTTTTTAAACAGTGTAATAGATCTTGAAGAGCTAACCTCAGAGAGTATATGTTTACAATTTGGTTGGTGCGCCTTAAATAAAGTATACTCGTATTCGACGAAAGAAACCCTCTATATCTCAAGAACTATAAACATCTGGATATGCTTCGCTTACACCTGTTGAAATATTTGCACAAACTTCAAAATCGCACTGTATATCGAGATTTTCTGAAAAGGTAACTGTCAGCACTAGCAAGAGCATAGGTATCAAAAATTTGCTATCTAACATTTTAACGTTTTAAATTAATGCGTTGCCCATTTGTGCTATTTTTAAATATTCTTATTTTAAAAAACATATAGCTCAATATTAAAACGACCTTTTTGTATTTGCACTGTTAAAACACAGTAGACAGAGAAGTAGAAAATGTTATTTTCCATGTCAGTTATAAAATGCAAATGCCTCATGCAAGAAGAGCCGTACTATTGAATTTCCTAGGATAAAATATGTTTTTATTTTGTCCTGTATGTGGTACAAAGACGTCCGTGAATGGAATGTAAATTATGGGGGCAGATTAAAGTAGTACGGTCGTAGTCAGAAAGGGATGTTACGAGAAAAGTCGTCCATTTTCCGAGAAAATTTTTCACCAGACTTTAATGTTGCTGAGGTCATCGTTCAGGGAAACGTTTATATGCATGCGATGACTGTCAACGAAATTTGTTTCCTTCTGGGTTTTATGGCGTCTTGACGTTTCCGTCTCTGATATCCAAGAGGAAATAACATCAACCAATAGTAAAACTGTCGTAACATTTATGCGAAAAATCAATGTTTAAAAACATTCGCCTGGATATAAACACTTTAGTGCAATTACGGTGAAAAACAGAACATTTTATAATCATCCATTTTTCATCCGTTTAGTGTTTCTTCTCGACGATTTATTAACATTAATGAACACTATACTTTACAGTTTTAACACGTAAATAAATTAGACGCGATGTCGGCCGACCTATCGCAGCTGGGGCCCCGTAAAGATTGCTCATTTAGCGAATTCGCCCGTCTCATCATTTTCCCCGAGATCCAGCTTTAACTCAATTATCAAGCTGCCGGATGTGAATATTTCCGAAATTAATACATGCCGGAGCCCCATAGAACCTTCCAAATGGTCTTCTTCCATT